TTAAAATAGATGGAACTGAGAATTGACTTTAGGGTGGGCAGAGGTCAAATAACAAAAAACAAATCTAATAGAAAGTTAAAACAAATACTTAAAAAACAATGAAACCAAATGCCAATAACTGACCTCCCTGAATAAACAGTAGAAAACAGAAGCAGCAAGAACACCACACCACACACTCGTGGTGCTTTAGCTTTAGTTAGCTAGTTAGCAGTCATCACGTTTTCTCTTCACGACCAGATTGATCACGTTTGACCCGCGGCTTCTAGCTCCGAAACATATTTGGGAGAACTTTTGTTATAACTGAACCAGAAAGCACAATTCCACATTCAAATACTTAAAAGGACTTCTTTACTTGCAGAAATAAATCAGTAAGAGGCTTACTCTGATTCGTTTTTCATTGGCCAATAGAGCATTTTTTGGTTGTTCCTGGGTGCCCGCAGACAAGATTTTTGGTTTTGAGAAAGTACTCCTTTATTATAATATGACTGTGGGTTTTGTATGTTTTACACTGACTGTGTAACACACAGTGGGGATTAATGAAGTTTGCTGTGTTGTGTTTCTTGCCTGCTGTATTTGTGTGTGTACTGCTAGTAAAAGGTGTCAGCGGTTGTACAAACTCCTTTGTAGGGTTTGCTGGTTGTATTATAAGTGAGTCTTACTGGCACCCCGGCTTAACACCAGCGACAGGTACGGTTTATTTGCTGCATCGCATGTAGTTAAATGAGGAAACTTTTATTTTACAGCCAGTTCAAAACAGGGCAATGCCAAACTGGCACCGTGGGTGATTGATTGATGAGAAGAGGCAATACAGTGCTGGCTGTTTGGCCGTGGTGCAATTCCTGCCCTGGCGTTAGAGGAACAATCAGCGGATCACAAAAGTCAGTAGGATAATCTGGCAGCCATGAATGTGCCAAAAATCGGCACAAAAAATAAAAAAAGAAGAGTTTAGTTTGTTCAAACAGCATTTAGAAACAATAATAATAAAAGACAATTTCTTCTTCAATTTTCGACAGAACGGCAATGACTCAAGTGAGAGAATAAAAAGGCGAAGAGTGCCATTTTTACATTCAGTCTCCAGAGGCATGTACAGTATTCGGTTTCATTCAACAGCAACTATTCAATACGAAATCAGCCTTTCCTGGAAACACACTGCTGTTTATCTATACAGCTCGGGGCTGCTGTGTGTGTGTGTGTGTGTAAACTGCCAGTAGATGTTTGAATGTGAAAATATGTTCCACTGGAGAAGACTTTGTCAGATAATAAAATACTCTACAGTACTTCCCATCTCGTAAACTCGTACCTACGGAGTCAGTTGCGTTCAGTCATACGAGCACCGCAGTTATCTGCAGGGGAAGCTTCACAGTGTGAACAGCGAACACACTGATGCTGCTGACAAACACGCAGATGTTAATTGTGACCATATTCATATTTAATTATTTTTGACATCACAGACGGAGGTGATGACGGCTCACAGGGGGGCGGCCTTTCTGTCACCTCTCTCAGTTCAATTCACTGTAGTAACATAGAGTGCTTTATCTGACCTCTGCGGCCATCTCAGTCACTCACAATTTAAATCAGCAGATTAAGTTTTACACAATCTTTTTAGAGAGAGAAAACTACCATCAAATAGTAATGAAAAGTAGATTCATTCTGACAGAAAGTTTATACCTGACCTCGTCAGACAAGACAAACACATAGGCCTCCTGAGGGGGGCGCCAGAGAGTTAAAGGAGGCAAAGATACTGCACGAGGTGAATTAGAGGCAAAAATCTCATTCAACGTTTGTGATAATTTTGATAATCACCTCAGTGTCTTTCAATAGGTTAGCCAGTCAGCTGTAAAAATCCTGCTAATGTTGGAGCCATACTGAGTGACTAACTAAATGAATAGTAAATACTATTAACTACTTTGTGTAAATACTGTAGCTAATCCCTCAGTGTAGGATTAATTTTCACAGCTTAACCAACAGCTCTTTTTACTCAGTGTTTGGAAGGATGTGAAAAAGGAGTGAACGATCACACATTTTTAACCGAAGAAGAGCTAAGAGAGAGTGAGCCAAACTCCTTAGAGCTGGCCGCCCTCCTCATAGAACAAGAGTACTCTTCATCAGTTTAGACACTGAAGTGATCCTCAAAATGACAGTGAAAAACACTGTATACAGAAATGTGACCACTAAGGTTCAACATGAAGGTAATGTTACTGTATCAGATTAGCGACAGCATTTTTGACTTTGGTTTAGGTAGTAAGAAAAAAGTCAGAGATTCACTCTGGACAGAATATAAATGACAGAAAAGAAAGAGCCAAAAAAACAGAAATCTTGATTTGATTGTTGGGAGATTTTGTAAAATTTTTATAAAACCAATTTAAACAAAGACTTTACAAGATACAGTATCAACTAATAACATAACAATAATAATTAAAGCTGCAAGCAGCGTTGGGCGGGCCCTCGCACTCCACGCAACTCGGGGCGTGCTGCGGCCGC